ATAAGGCTGTCGCATCAGTAAGACAAATCCAGAAATATGCACCACCTTCCTCAGTAGAAACAAATGCACTGGGGGCGAATGGTGACCCATCCAAGATGGCGGCCCGCCGCTACGCCAGTCGTCGGGGTGTTTACGGATATGATGTCTGTGGCACCGATTTAGGTGCTAACTGGCGGGCGCGGGTCCACCAACATTCACAAGATGGCAACAGAAGCGAAGCGACAAAAGGTTTGTCTCAGTCACGAAACAAGCTATGATGGTGCTGTGGTGGTGAATACGTGTGTCTGAGGCTCTAGTTCACTGTTACAGCTTTGTAACAGTAGCTTATTAACACGTGACTTGCCATCATGAAAACTGATTCGACCCATGCAGTTGAAGGATGCTTTAGAATGAATAACTTTGCTTCCTACAGGTGGACAATGGCTCCGAACCTCTGCAGAACTTTCTCACGTGGTGTGACCGAGTTGGACTGGTTCTCAGCAGTAAGGTCTGTATTTTACAGATTTTACAGCATGGCTAGTTCCATAGATATGTATATAAACACGTGTTTATATTATACACACATCTATGGTTAGTTCCGTGTACTGCGACTCTAGGGGGCGCTGCTTATTGCCACTAAGGTTGTAGCGTTCTCACGAAGAAGAGCACAATACGCTAAAGGCTAGCATGGCTATTCATTTGGGTTGTTAAATGTGTCACAGGTGGATAATTCAGGTTACCAAGTCTACCAAGTCATAGGTGGATATCTCAGTTTACCAAGTCATAGGTGGATAACTCAGCTTACCTAGTCACTGGTGGATAATTCAATTTACCTAGTCACTGGTGGATAATTCAGTTTACCAAGTCACAGGTGGATAATTCAGTTTACTGAGTCACAGGTGGATTATTCAGTTTACCAAGTCATGGATGGATAATTCAGTTTATCAAGTCATAGGTGGATAATTCAGTTTACCTAGTCACTGGTGGATAATTCAATTTACCTAGTCACTGGTGGATAATTCAGTTTACCAAGTCACAGGTGGATAATTAAGTTTCCCAAGTCACAGGTGGATAATTAAGTTTCCCAAGTCACAGGTGGATAATTCAGTTTACCAAGTCATAGGTGGATAATTCAGTTTACCAAGTCATAGGTGGATAATTCAAATTACCTAGTCACAGGTGGATAATTCAGTTTACCTAGTCACAGGTGGATAATTAAGTTTCCCAAGTCACAGGTGGATAATTCAGTTTACCAAGTCACAGGTGGATAATTCAGTTTACCTAGTCACAGGTGGATAATTCAGTTTACCAAGTCAAAGGTGGATAGTTCCGTTTACGGAGTCGTAGGTGGATAATTCATTTTACCGAGTCACAGGTGGATTATTCAGTTTACCAAGTCATGGATGGATAACTCAGTTTACCGAGTCATGTTAGGGTTAGGGTCTAACATGTATGTATGTAAGTAACTCATGTTTCCAGGAACATTACATTTTAGCTTTTGGATTTAGTGAAATGAATCCAGATCCAGCTTCTCTAGTCGTCGTCTCCCTGTTTATGTCTTAATTATAAATTTGCTCGTCGTTTATCTGTTTTGCACCAAGGACTGCAGCTGTTTTAATGATGTGATCCTCACATCTGGCCGTAAACCCTTCTGATTCTGATGTGTTTCTACAGGTGTCTGTGAGGAAAGAGGGAACTGTGGCAGCTTATGGGATGTTGGCGAAGGACAACATAGAGGAAGGAGAAGTTTTATTCACCATTCCCAGATCTGCTCTCCTCCACCTGGAAACCACGAAGGTTTCAGCCTTGTTGAACAAAGGTGATGTTCTGAAGCCCGTTGACTCCTCCTGACTGCGTCCATGCTGATGGTTTTCTGTTCCTTACAGAGAAGTCGTGTCTGGAGAGCTCCTCCGGCTGGGTTCCTCTGCTGCTGGCTCTGCTCTATGAGTACACATCCTCCCAGTCCCACTGGGGACCGTACCTGTCCCTGTGGTCTGACTTCAGGGCTCTGGATCATCCCATGTTCTGGTACGTTTCACTTCCATCCTACAAACATGTTGTGTGACTTCAGAACATCTTGGTCGTTGATGGCTTCCATCAGGTCTAAAGAGGAACGAGACCGTCTGCTGAAGGGAACGGGTGTCCCTGAGGCTGTGGACACAGACCTGTCCAACATCCAGCGAGAGTACACGGACGTCGTCCTGCCTTACATGCTCCGGCACCCTGACCTGTGGAACCCCAGCACACACACGCTGGATCTGTACACACAGCTGGTGGCCTTTGTCATGGCTTACAGGTCAGAACCTTCGTGCAGATCCCTTCTGCTCCGTTCGTCTCCTTTAACCCACCCGCCATTCGTCCTCATAGCTTCCAGGAACCACAAAGAGAGGAGGAAGAGGAAGAGGAGGAGGAGGAGGAGAGCACACCAAACCCTCCGATGATGGTTCCCATGGCAGACATGCTCAACCACGTGTCCAATCACAACGCCAACCTGGAGTTCACACCTGTGAGAGACTCGCCTGTTTCAGCAGCAGCGCTTCCTCTCTAGCTCAGTGGATTCTGAAAGCTTTGCTCTTCGTCCTTCAGGACAGTCTGAAGATGGTTTGTGTGCGCCGCATCAGTACAGGTGAGGAGGTGTTTAACACCTACGGGCAGATGGCCAACTGGCAGCTTCTACATATGTATGGCTTTACCGAGCCGTATCCTAGCAACAGCAACGACACGGCAGACATCAGCCTTCACCAGCTCTACAAAGCTGCTAAAGCAGGTGACAGAAAGGTGTTGGTGTTCGCAATCATGAACCATGCTTATGAGACGTTTCACAGCTCTGACATTACAACCCAACCCCGCAGGTGTCCAGTCTGATTCAGACCTGCAGCTGGTGGAGGAGCGTTGGGAGACGCTATGTCAGATGATGAAGGAGGACGGAGTCTTTGTCTTCAGTAATCAGGGCTGTCTCACAGACTCGGAGCTGCACACGGCGCTGAAGGTGACGAAGCACGAGCGCTGGCGTTCGTTATGGAACGTTGTTTTGATAACAGGAGACACGTCTCTCTCCGTGTCCCTGCAGGTGATGTGTATGTCTAAGGACGAGCTGTCCCAGTTCAAAGACAATGAAGGATGGGAGGAGGATGATGAAGACGATGAGAAGATTTCCCAGGCGTTCTGTAACGATGGTATTCCTGAATTAAATGCATCATGGAAACGACTCCTTCATGAAGCAGCAGGGCTCACACTGAGGTTGTACGGAGATGGAGAGACGGAGGACAAACTGGTGGACAGAGATCGGGTCCTGATGGAGGACAAAGCAGCTCTCAGAGGACTGAGCAGCAGGCAGTGGAGGGCGCTGCAGGTCCGCTTTGGACAGAAGATGATCCTGCACAGACTGATGGAGCTCACCCTGCCCTGAGTTCTCAGCTGCCTCTGACTCACCCAATAAATGTTTTATACCTGAACATTTTGGTTTTGCTTTATTTCGTTATCCACCGCCGAAGGTGTAAAAAAGTGTCCTGACTAATCAGCTGATCACAGGTTAAACCTGTGGTGATGTTCTCTCACCACCAGAGGGTGGTGTTGGACCAGTTTCACCTGTAATCCTTGTGCCACATCAGCATCTCTCAGAGGTTTACAGATGTTCACAGATGTTCTGGATGTCTAATATGTGGCTCGTTGGTCTAGGGGTATGATTCTCGCTTAGGGTGCGAGAGGTCCCGGGTTCAAATCCCGGACGAGCCCATACATCTTTTGTTCCATAGCTGAATTTAAAACCTCCCAGAAAGCATTTATTTTAAACTGATGTCAGTTTCTCTCCTCTAGATACAAGTTCAAGTCAAACCACAGTTCCTGCTTTGTGTCTGGTGAGGAAATCAGATTCCCTCCAGCATCTCCTCAACTTTAAAACTTTATAAAATTTATATAAATAAGCTGAAAAATCAATTATTTAGGAAAAACTTAGGAGGGGGAATTCTCTTCTAGCAGGACATTATTTATGCTAAGCTACCTGAGAGAACAAAACCTGAAAACAGTCACATTCAGACTAATCTTCCATATAATTTCTGTTTCAACTCACAACTGAAAGATTTTCTGTTATGAAATATTTTTAAAACTTTTGAAATCCTTTAATATTAATGAAGCCCATTTTAAATACTTACACACTAATATTAAATGTCCTTTTAGGATTTGGGAGATAAAGATGTGGTGACAGATGTCATCTCTGTTAATTTCTCATTCTGTGCTTTAAAGCCCTCTAGCCACTCTGACAAAGGCCGAATCCGTCGTATAAACTTTCAGCAAACATCAAATATAAATGGGTTGAATTTGTTTTTTAGATGTTTTTGTCACGAGTATGATGTGTTTTTCCTGGGTAAACTTGTATGTAGGTGTATATATATATATATATATATATATATATATATATATATATATATATATATATATATAGACAGACAGACAGACAGACAGATAGATAGATATATACGGGCACCACCGATGTCTTCACTCTTCAGGCTTTCTCAGGTTCTTCTCTGAGGTCCTGGTACTTCTCTAGTGTCTCGTGTTCCTTTCTCCTGATGTTGCATCACCTGGTATCGCCACATCGACCACAACAGCTGTCCTCTGTTGTTTGTCCACCACCACAATGTCCGGTTGGTTCTCTGTCACCATTTAGTCAGTCTGGATCTGGAAGTCCCACAGGAGCTTGGCTCTCTCGTTCTCTACCACCTTAGGGGTGTTACCCACTTTGATCTTGGGGCTTCCAGTCCATACTCTGCACAGATGTTCCTGTACACGATGCCAGCCGCTAGGTTGTGGCGTTCCATGGATGCTTTCCCTGCCAGCATCTTAGATCCTGCAGTTATGTTGTGGATCGTCTCAGGGGCCTTGGGCCTACACCTTGGGCCTTGTCTGGTGTGCTAGATCTTGGCTTCTGTTGCTCTGCTCTTGTGTATCCATGATGAGCCTCTGTGCTGTGCTTCAGACCAGCTCTTTCTAGCCATTGGTAGGATTTTTTGATGTCAGCCACTTCAGTTGTCTGTCTGGTACATCCCATGTAGAGGCTTGTCCTCCTACGATGGTATCTCCTGCATCTCCTCTGTTCGTCATTGTCTGAGACATTCACTGAGCATATCATCTGTTGGAGCCTTACCCTGGATGTACTTATGGAATTTAGATGTTTCATCCTGGACATCTCACACTCACTAGTCCTCCTTCCTTACAGCTAGTGTTCAGTCTTAGGGTGCTGGGTTTGGGATGGAACCCTGCATGGTTAGGAGCTTCTGTGTCATAACATCTGTGGTCTGTGTTTCTTCCTTAGGCCAGTGGATTATTTCTGCAGGAGATCTGATTACTGACAGGGCGTAGCTGTTTATGACCTGGATCTTGTTCCTGCCGTAAGCTGACTTCTTAGGACCTGCTGTAGGTTTTTGGCTGTGGCTCCTTTCCTTGTGGGTTCATCAAGGTTGCCATTAGCTTGTGGGATACCGAGGTAGCTGTCCTCAATGTCTGCTATTGATCCTTCTGGGAGTGAGACCCCTTCTGTGTGGACTACCTTACCTTTCTTTGTCCCCATCCGACCACACTTCTCAAGTCCGAATGACATTCCGATATCAGCGCTGTAAATCCTGGTAGTGTGGATCAGTGAGTCAATGTCTCGCTCGCTCTTGGCGTACAGCTTTATGTCATCCATGTAGAGGAGGTGGCTGATTGTGGTTCGGTATCCAAGACCTACTATGTAGGCAAAACTCCACGGCCTCTGGTAGAGGACCCGAGCTTGGAAGGATGAGACCACCCCCCAGGGTGAGATGGGAATTTTTGTATGTATGTTTAAGCTTATATATAAACTTATACATATTAGCTTTTACATAAGCTTACATATACGCTAAAAAAATACAAACCTCTTTTAAGAGAATCAGAATATATTTATGTGATTTTTTGTATAAATGTAAAATGAGTTCAGAACTAGTAAAATCAACTCCACTGGTTTCATTTCACTCAGGGCTTTGATAAAAGTGTGACTGCAGTTTTGTGGTTAAATCACTAAAAGGTGCTGTCGGACTAGAACAATTTAAACTGCCACATCAACACCTGTTCCAGATGTTCTTTTATTATTCTCTCAGAGGCTCGTTGGTCTAGGGGTATGATTCTCGCTTTGGGTGCGAGAGGTCCCGGGTTCAAATCCCGGACGAGCCCTTTCTATAATATTGCTGTTGTCATCGTTACAGCGTGTTAAATGTGTTGGGTCAGCTCTCTGTATTTCTAATGGGATGTCACTTCTCTGTTGTTCTATTCGTTTAAAACTGATTCAATTCAAGTTTATATATATAGCGCCAAATCACGACAAGAGTCGTCTCAAGGCACTTCACATAATAAACATTCCAATTCACAGTTCATTAAGCCAATCAGAAATAATGTGTCCTATATAAGGAACCCAGCAAATTGCATCAAGTCACTGACTAGTGTCAGTGACTATACAGCAATCCTCATGCTAAGCAAGCATGCAGCGACGGTGGAGAGGAAAACTCCCTTTTAACAGGAAGAAACCTCCAGAGGATCCTGGCTCAGTATAAGCAGCCATCCACCATGACTCACTGGGGATCAAGAAGACAGAGCGCACACACACACACACACACACACACACACACACACACACACACACACACACACACACACACACACACACACACACACACACACACACTAATGTGTCTATAGTTCTATTGTGATGTCTTAGTAAATATTCTATTTGGTGAGATAAACTTTATTGTATTTATCCTAGTGGATCTCTAATTAAATGGGTAAACTAGCAGTAACACGTCCAATGTCAAGGAAAGCAAAAAGTTATTATCAGGAGAGAGAGAATGTTTAAGTGGTTAGCAGCAGTGTGTTAGACGATGGCCCCCTCCACGAGGCCACCACAGCTCAGCAGAACATCGTTGTTGCTTCTTCTGGGGAGAAAAACACTTAGAGAGAAAATAAAGTTAACAGCTGAAATTGCAGAAAGTAATACAGTTAAAGAGCAGATAGTAGAAGAAAGTAGTAGAGTGTGGAAAGTGGTCAGTGTATCCTCTAGCAGTCTAAGCCTATAGCAGCATAACTACAGAGAAAACTCTGGATAATCTATCCTATTTAGATGGAGGCATGTTGGAGGCAGGGCAAGGGAGAGTCGTCTTTACCGACTGTACACTCCACCTCCCTCTACTCCCCCACTTGTCCTGATTTAGGCTAACATCAGATTTTAACCATAGGCCCTATCAAATAAAAATGTTTTAAGCCTATTCTTAAATGTAAACAAAGTGTCTGCCTCACGGACTAAGGCTGGGAGCTGGTTCCACAGGAGAGAAGCCTGATAACTAAAAGATCTGCCTCCCATCCTAATTTTAGATATTCTGGGAACCACCAGTAGACCTGCAGTCTGAGAGCGAAGTGCTCGGTTAGGAATCAGATCACTGATGTATGATGGAGCTTGATTATTAAGAGCTTTGTATGTGAGAAGGAGGATCTTAAAATATATTCTGAATTTAACAGGTAGCCAATGTAGGGAAGCCAAGACAGGAGAGATATGATCTCTTTTTAATTCTCATCAGAACTCTAGCTGCAGCATTTTGGACAAGCTGAAGACTTTTAACTACATTCTGTGGACTTTCTGAGAGTAATGAATTACAGTAATCCAGTCTTGATGTAATAAATGCATGAACTAGTTTTTCAGCATCACTCCCGGAAAGGATGTTTCTAATCTTAGCAATATTCCGAAGGTGGAAAAGGGAAATCTTACAAACCTGTTTAACCTGGGCATTGAAAGACATGTCCTGATCAAAGATAACACCAAGGTTCCTTACTTTGTTCTCGGAGATTAATGTAATGCCTTTCAGGTCAGGCGATTGGTTAAGCAATTTCCTTTTCTGGATTTCTGGTCCAAAGATGAGAACTTCCGTCTTGTCTTGATTTAAAAGCAAAAGGTTTAGAGTCATCCAATGTTTTATGTCCTTAAGTTAAGCCTGTAATCTACCCAACCGATTAGGTTCATCAGGGTTAATGGATAAATATAACTGAGTATCGTCAGCATAACAGTGGAAGTTTATCCCATGCTGTCTAATGATTTTACCAATTGGGAGCATATATATATAGTAAAAAGAATTGGTCCAAGCACTGAACCCTGTGGTACTCCACAAGTAACCCTGGAATATGAAGAAGATTTGTCATGTACATTTACAAAATGAAATGTGTCAGACAGGTAGGATTTTAACCAGCCTAGCGCTGTTCCTTTGATCCCTACAACATGTTCAAGTCTTTCTACAAGAACATTGTGATCAACTGTGTCAAAGGCAGCACTGAGATCTAACAAGACTAGAACAGACACAAGATTCTTATCTGAGGCCATAAGAATATCATTTGTAACTCTCACTAATGCAGTTTCAGTGCTGTGATACTCTCTAAAACCAGACTGAAATTCCCCAAACAG